TTTTTAATTTGACAGATTCAGGTGCTACTGATTTTAATGGGTGTCAGGTTCAGCGTCCAAACTTGAAGTTTGCTGAACCCTGCTAAAACCAAACCCAGGTTAGTTCGGCTCATCCCTAATCATTACATGTAGCTGGAAGTGGTCAGACTGGAAATAATCATTTTAAAAAGTACACAGTTTGTGGCCAGCATTATGGCTTCAAAAAAGACACATTTAAAGGATTGGCTGATCCGTTTTTTAACTCACTACCCTCTTGTGGAAGAAAATATTTCCAATGACTACTCACTTTCTCCACCCTCCAGTTCTGTTCCTGACTAGACATATGCAGAAAGAAAAAAATTGTTTTGTTTTACTTTGTTATTTAAATCACTTTGTTTAGTTAAACTTGTTTAATTCATTTTCGGAATTCATTTCGCTTATTCCAATTCAAATTCCTGAATTCGAATTTTGAATAGAATAAATGCAAATTCAAATAGATTAGAATAGAAAAGAACAGAATTCAATTTGTCCAAATTTGGAAAATTCGAATCAGCGTTTGTATTCAAATTTATTGTATTCCATATTCACATTTTGGAAGACAGTTATATTCTATTTTGTTTATTCTATTCTGTTCTATTTTATTCTTTTCTATTTGAAATTTATTCTATTCAAAAGTATAATTTCGGAAGTCGGTTATATATTTTCTATTTTATTCTATTCTAGTCTATTTTTTTCTGTTCTATTCTTTTCTTATATAATCTATTCTATTCAAATTTTTATTTATTGTATTCAAAACTCAAGTTTCAGCAGGCGGTTATATACAGTATTTTCTATTTTATTCTAGTCTATGTTTATTTTCTATTTTAGTCTTTTCTATTCTATTCTTTTATTTTCTATTCTATTCTAATCTATTCAAATTTGAATTTATTCTATTTGAAATTCAAACTTCGGAAGACAGTTTTTTTTTCTATTCTATTGTTTTTATTTTCTATTCTATGTATGCTATTCTTTTCTATTCTAGTCTATTCTTTTCTATTCTATTTTCTTCAAATTTGAATTTATTCTTCAAAATTTGAATTTCAGAAGACGGTTATATTCTTTCTATTTTATTCTGCTGTATTATTTTCTATTCTTTTATTTTCTATTCTAATCTGTTCTGTTTTACTCTATTCTTTTCTATTCTGTTATTTTCTATTTTATTCTATTCCTTTATTTTATTTTCTATTCTAATTTGATTTCGTTTTTGAATTTGATTTGAATTTCAGACATAATTTTGTTTCATTATTTCGGATTCGTTTAAATGTATTACTATTGTAATTTGGAAATTCAGATACATCTTCGAATAACAAAAAAAATTTGTCCGAATTTCGATCCGGAACAAAATGAACTGGACATGACTATTCCTGACTTCATCCTCAGTCCAGCACCAATGATCCTCTTCAGTGCAGAAAGAGAGAATATGATAAGGAAACAGCAGCAGAAAAGAGGGGCAGAATGTTTACATCTAAATCCATTTCATCATACGGTAATGTAGTGCTGCCCCCAGAGGAGCCGCTGAATTGTTTTGTGATTTCTCTGCACACCTGAAAATCACACACACCACGCTCACCCAGCACATACCGGACACAGCTTGAGGTATTTCAAAGAATTTACTAGGCCAAGCATAGCCTAAAAGAAGAAAGGATTAGCAAGTGTACTTACAAATAATCAATAAGACAATAATTCACATGTAGCGATTTGGGATCGCTGGCGAATCGCTAACCGCTATTCCAAATTGCACTGTAATGCTGGCAAAACGCACCACACATGTATGTGCACCAATCATTTGGTTTTAATGGCACCTAAAATGCGGTTTTGCCACGATTGTCATACGGAAATTGCGGCAAATCACATCACACAAAGCTTGTTGCTGAATACAGCCTCCTGCTCCTTTTTGGGCAGCAAGCTTTGTGCAATGTGGTTTGCCATGATTGCCACACAATAAATTGCGCAACAATCGCAGCAAAACCACACCGAATTTTAGGTGCCATTAAAAATCAATGGCACGCAAAACACATGTGGTGTGTTCTGCCACCAAGGCAGACCATTCTGCTAGTGATACCAAATCGCTAGATGTGAACGGGGTCTAAACACCTGCAGTATTCTGGATAACAGTAATTAAAAGAACTGAACTGCATTTACCTAGCAAGAATATATAAATGCAGTCCTAACTTGCCAAAACAGTCCTTGTTTTTTCACATTGGCCTGTGAATGATGGAAAAAAAAAAACCCATTGGCAGGCAAAGTTGGGGCCCTTGAAGAAAGCACGACAGTTACCAGGAGACAGCAGAACAAATTTTGTAATGTTGGTCTCTTACCAGACTCAGGTTGCCTTCTTCTGGATCTCTGGAAAAATGCTCTGATTCATTAAAAGTCAAGTTCAAGTCCTACTCCTTGCTCCTTCAGTCCTACTGAGACAGTTCTTCTTTTCCTTCCTTTCAGCCAGTTGGAGTGCTCTCTGTTACCATCTGATCACACCTGGCTTCCCAGTATCTGAAGCATCGCCTTCTAAATTAAAAATTTTTTTTTTGTAATTAACTTTTTATTGATTTTCAAACATTTACAACAAACAGAGTTGCATATAAACATGGTATGACAAACACAGAGCAACAAAAAGACAGAGAAATAGGCTAATCAATGAGAGGTACATACAATATATATATATATAACAGTGATTTAGCAATCATTTTCAGACAATTGAGTAAACAAGTTTGAATTGAAAGTATTCCATGGTTCCCAAACTGCCTCAAAAGTGTTTACAGAGTTAGCGTGTAAAGCAGTGAGGTACTCCATTTTTCTAATCTCAGCTATAACCTTCATCAATTCCGATAGTGTAGGAGGCATAAATTGAAATTTGTAACCCAGGATTCACATCTAGGCAGGTAAAGGGGCCCTAGGATATGTGTCTAATTAGGAAAGAACTGGCCTTTCAGTTTTCTCCAGGAAAAGTAAATACTAGTATGGGTTCTGAAGCGTTGTAGAGTATTGAATGGTATGAAGCTTCCATTCTTGGACCACGTTCTACTGGTAACCTGAACTCTGCTTGTGCAGAACACATTGAGCATTGGGGCTGGCTTTGGTTCAGGGCACTACCCGGGAAACAGAAGTCCCCTGACCAGTTTGCCAATGCAGTAGAGAGTTGTGAGAGATACGCAAAACTTGAGTTTTTTAGAAGGTCTGGAGGACCAGACAAGGCCCTAAACTGTAAGGCCAGAACAGCAGCCCTGAAAGAAAAATCCAGGAGGTTGTATGAAGCATTGGTTTTGTTGTGTAGCATTGGAAGTGGAATGATGTAAGCCCCTGTGAGGATAACCCCATTCAAGATGCAAGCCCACGGCAACTAGCAAGGACCTTGTTTGATGTAGGAAGGAATGAGGGGGAGGTCACTTTAAGCAAGTAAGACAAATCCTACATGCAGTCTGGTGCACTCTAAGGTTGGGCAGCAGTCAAGCAAATAGCACACACTTCTGGGATTCCTTAAGCTATCTTACAACCTAGAATCCTTGTATTAATCACGCTTTCTCATTATCCATGCGCACCCCCACACAAGATACCCATGTGGTAGCTTGCCACCATCTAGCAGTTTGTCTTCTGACTGGTCTGTTAGGCAACTACATACACATATAGATCTCTCTCTAGCAGATCTGCTTGTTGACCATCTAAGGAGCTTAGACTAAGTGCACAGACACTACAAGGCACTTCAATGCAACAATCTCTAGGGACATGAGTCCTAGCTTAATAAACAGGAGCCACTTATTAATTTTACAATGTGATATCTTGTTGGTGGGCAGCACCAGGGGCGGACTGACAACTCATGGGCCCCCGGGCAATAGGGGATCATGGGGCCCCTGTGTCCTTGCCCAAACTCAAAAACGCCTATGAAAAAGGTACCAGGGGAATCTCATGGGGCCCCCTACTGACCCAGTGCCCGAGTTTCCAAATGGTCAGTCCGCCCTTGGGCAGCACATTAAATATTTACATATATAGAATTACAAAGAAGGCAAAAGAACATAAAGTTTAGCTATTGGCTATGAAAAAAGAGATAAAAAAAAACAGAAATCAACTTTTGCCATGGTTTATAATGCTGGTAGGAGCACAACAAGGAATATTCAACAATATCACCAGTTTAGAACAGGCTCCATGTGAATCACCGCGTCCATAGCTCATGCTCCTCAATTTATTGAGATACAGTTGTGGGTCAGACTCTAACCCTTGACCAATCAAAGCTGAAGGTGTTCCCTCCTCATCCTGGAGGATGGTTCTGCCTTCTGAAGTGACTAGGGTTAAATGGGCCATGAATGGTTCTGATGACTGGGGTGAGGTTATGATTTCCAAGGCCAGCATATTAGACACATCACAACAACACCAAACAAAGCTTGGCTGTCACACTCAGGCACCATTCAATAGTTTTGTGGATATCTCATGGATTCTATACACACTACACATTCTATTTTATATGTACACGTACCCCAAAATATGTATGATCAGAAGGAATTATTTCCATCTTTAGCCAGCCATAAATGGATCAAAATTCAGCCAGTTCAGCAGAAACCAGCCAAATCGCAATCCATGTGAATGTGTGGATGTTTTTTTTTGATCAGCCGACTCTATGGCTAACTTTTGACATAAAGTCAGTTGTTGGTAGATATTTTGGATTCTCTCTGTGTGTATAGGTCTCATGCCCTGCTGGGCTTATAGACAAAATGTCTACAACTTCCCTTTTAGGTTCAGTGAGATGATAGTTGGTTTAACAACACCTACAAGGATGTGTGAATGTCATTGGCATCTGGGTGTTAATTCTGGTCTACAGGCCTGCTCTTTCCTTTCAAACTCTAATTTGGGAACACCTGTCTACTACTAATTACTGTATTAAAAGAATACTGTATATATGTTACAACTGCTTGGCAACTGTCCTTAACCACTTGCTAACCGCGCTATAGCAGAATGACGGCTACAGCTCGGTTATCCAGTTCTGGGAGGGCATCATATGACGTCCTCCCAGAACGCGCCCTCCAGTGCGCCCCCAGCGGCACGTACCTGACAATCTGTGTGACACAGCAGATCACAGAGTAAATATAGTTGCCGGTTATCGGCAACACTTTCATCACGCTGTCACCGACAGCTGTCACAGATCAAATCGGCACTGATGATCAGTGTCCATCAGTGCCACCCATCAGTGCCCACCAGTGCTGCCCAGCATTTGCACCCATCAGTGCCCAGCAGTGCCACCAGTCAGTGCCATCAGTCAATGCTGTCAGTCAGTGCTGCCTATCAGTGTCCATCAGTGCTGCATATTAGTGAAGCATCATCAGTGCCTCCTCATCAATGCCCACCAGTGCCACCTCATCAGTGCAGCCTATCAGTACCCATCAGTGCTGCCTATCCATGCCACCTCATCAGTGCCCATCTGTGCTGCCTATCGGTGCCCATCAGTGCTGCCTATCAGTGCAGCCTCATCAACACACATCAGTGAAGGAGAAAAACTAGTTGTTTGCAAAATTTTATAATAGAAACAAAGAAAAACTTTTTTTTTGCAAATTTTTTGCACTTTTTTGTTTATAGTGCAAAAAATAAAAACCCCGGTGGTGATTAAATACCACCAAAAGAAAGCGCTGTTTGTGTGAAAACAATGATAAAAATTTCACATGGGTACAGTGTTGCATGACCGCGCAATTGTCATTTAAAGTGCAACAGCACTGAAAGCTGAAAATTGGCCTGGGCACGAAGGGGGTAGAAGTGCCCGGTAGGCAAGTGGTTAAAGGATAAGTTTACCTTCAGTAACGTTTCATGTTCCACCTGTTTTTAGATGTAACATGTTCTGGCTCCTGTAGCGCTAACTCCCCCCCCCCCCCAAATTCCCCAATTGCCCCCCAGTGGCCCAGGGATCTTCTCCCTGTACCTGCTGTCACAATTTGAAAATTTGGGGTTCTGCCCAGCGACCAAATCATTAAGTCACAGAGTTCTGAGCTTGAATGATAACAAGTACCAACAGCCTTTGCGGTTCAAGGCTTGTAGTTTTCAATGGGCTACAAGGGCACTGGTGAGCATCCCCATAGTTCATTGATTCTTCCTGAATTGAAGTAACTGCCTACACATATCAAAGGTACGGTCAGACAGCTACATTGACAGACAGCAGGAGCCTGACATTGCACCTGCAATCTGCTGATCGTGGATACAATGCTTTACAGGCTCCTAAGAAAAAAATAGCAATTGCAAATTTTTGTACCTGTAAAAATTGTGATTTTAATATTTCTTTTAAAGGTGAACTTATCCTTTCAGCCCTGGTTCACACTGATGCGGTGCGGCATTTGCAGCATTTTCTGTGCGAATTCCACAACGCATCAGAATCTCACCCCGTTCATACAAACCACTGCAGGTGTGTATGTTAAGTTAACAACACCCCAAAAGTGGTCCGCAAAACGCGGTGCGATGTGCAGAATTGGATCACATAGGTGTGAATACCCATCCGATCCAATTCTAGTGCAGACCAAAAAAAGGGTCCTGCACGTTTTTGGTGAGGGTGCAGTGCGAATAGAGCCATACAAAATGTATAGCTCCAATCGTACCGCACACAAATCACATGTGATTTGCACAGAAATGCGGTACGGTTCCTCTGCGAATTACATGCGATACACCGCACCGCACATATGTGAACACAGGCTAAAAGTGCTACACTTGAGCTAAACCCCACACAAGATATACACACTCTCTATTAGTCCTTTCGGCCTCTTTAACACGGGCGTTCTGTATGTCCATTTTTTATCTGTCCATTTACGGATTAAAAACGGACCCCCATGAATTTCTATGGACTTGCGGATGTAAACAGATGAACATCTTTTTATACCTGTTAATGTCCAAATCCGTTAACATCTGTGTTTTTTGAAAAAATCCTATTTTTCTTCTGAAAAAAACACCGGAACGGATGTAAACGGACCAAAACGGATGTAGACGGATGAAAACGGATGTATATGTATCTAAACAGATGTAAACCGGATGTAAACAGATGAAAAACTGATGTAAACGAATGTCCGCTTTTCATCTGTCCGTTTGAACAGAAGAAAACCCTATTTTTCTTCTGCAAAAAAACCCGGAACAGATGTAAATGGACCAAAAACGAATGTGGGCGGATGCAAACGGATCTAAACAGATGAAAAACAGATGTAAATGGATCTAAAGTGATGAAAAATGGATGTAAATGGATCTAAACGGATGAAAAAGGATGTAAACCTATGTAAACGGATGAAAAACGGATGTAAACAGATGTCCGTTTTTCACCTGTCAGTTTACGGAGAAAAATGGACCCCCATGTATTTCTACGGATTTGCGTATGTAAACGGATAAACATCTTTTTACATCTGTTAATGTCTGTATCCGTTAATATCGTTTTTTTTTGACCGGAAGAAAACCTTATTTTGCTTACGCAAAAAACCTGGAATGGATGTAAACAGACCAAAAACGGATGTAGTTGGATGAAAACGAATCTAAACGGATGAAAAACTGATGTAAACCAATGTAAATGGATGAAAAACAGAAGTAAACGGATGTCCAGTTTTAATCTGTCTGTTTACGGATGAAAAACGGACCCTGATATATTTCTGTGGACTTGCAGATGTAAATGGATGAACATCTTTTTACATCTGTTAATGTCCGCATCTGTTAACATCTGTTTTTTTTTAACGTACGAAAACCCTATTTTTCTTCCGCAAAAAAAACTGGAACGGATGTAAACGGACCAAAAACAGATGATCTAAATGGATGAGAAACAGATGTAAATGTATCTAAACGGATGAAAATGGATGTAAACAGATGAAAAACGGATTAAAAAATTGATGTAAACGGATGTAAACTCATCCGGTTCTTCTTTGAAAAAAAACGTGGCTGAACTGAAGAAAAAAAACAGAATGCCCATGTGAAAGGACACTAACATATTTTTTTTCCATGATGTTTGATAGGAAAGATATACAAATGGTTCAAGGCAGTGACAACACATTGTAAACTGTCAGTATGTATTGGATGAATTTTCAATGTGGTAAAATCAGATTATGCTAAAGACATAAAAAGAAGTGCAAAAAATGGGTTAGAGTTGTTTATGACGCAATTACCCCTACAACAGTAGCTGCGTGAGTGCCATATGTGAGAGTAAGACATATGTGGATCTGTGCGCACACAAGCATCGGTCATGATGAATATCTAGCAGGGGGTCTTCAGCCATCTAGTAGGAGCACTTCATTGAAATATTCATATATGGTATGTCAATACATATCTACTGTATAGCACTCAGATGTCCACGTTTACATGCATATGGACCCTTAAGCCTTTATATATATTTTTTTTGTAATTCAAAAAGAAAAGAAAAAAATGAGATCATTAGCACTGGAAATATTTAAAGCCGTGTACAGCAGATGTAGAAAAGAGAGGAAATGCATGCAGGACATTGGCAGATTAAATGTCACAGTGATGTATAAAACCAGCAGATGTTAATAATGAACTATATCATATTCCACATGAATATAGAGAGGGATGAGGTGACTTCGTGTCTTGTAGGCGAGAGCTGATCATTGAGTTAATATGAAGCAATTTAGGCAGCTGGCTGCACAAGTGATTGAAACAGCTCCAGTCCAGTTCAAAGATAATTCCAGACAGAGGGACAGTGATCTGGTTGCACAAATTAGCCGCCTGAATGAATTAAATATCCCTCTATTGTCTGCAAGACTGCTAGCTCACAGGCAATGTACAGGTTGACCTGATGTTGCCTGAAAACAGGTTTATTTGATTTAAATTGATGAATGAGTAGGAGGCTGATTTGTAGGGTAGTGGAATGGTGCGCAAAGCATTGCCACTATCATTTAAAATATATTCAAAATATAACAATGACGAAACTACCTCTGTGATTTCTGCATGACATCTTTTATTCTTTTTTCAAGGGCTAATTCACGTTATGTGCGGTGACAGGAGGTTTACTGCATTGTAAAACGTTGTCACCATAGGGACACACAACAAATGTAGACATGCTGCAATTTATCACATTTCCGTTTCAAGAATATTCGTTTGATTTTCTAATTGTTAGTGGGGTCAAATCGATGTTCGTTTTCAACCGCAATGATGGGAAAATTCGAAAGGTCAGGTAGGAAAACTTTTTTTGATCAAATGAATTTTCGCCCATGATGTGTTTTTATCGTTCAGAAATTACATTCATTTTAAAATTGAATGTTAAAAGCAAAAAGACAATTTTGAACAACATTTGTCCATTCATCGAATGTTCAAATAATTTTCGTACGACTTTTCTTACGGATATCCAAAAATCTACACGTGTATGGCTAGCCTTAGGGTTGCCACCTCATCCTGTGGCAGCACCCAAATATTGTAGCGTTCCCCTTAAGTTTTAACATTTCTAACAGCATCTGTTTGCAAACCAAGGTCATCAGCTCACTTCCCCCCTCCCTTATTTCCGGTGAAATAATGTGTTACAGTCTGTAGCTGGCACTCTTATTTTCAGCGGAAGATAATTTATCTAGCAAGGTCATATTCTGTACTGCTTATATGTATACCCTGTGAGATGTTTTTGAAGGCACTTAGCTTTGCAGACGTTAGTTTGGCTAGGTCACCAGCTGGTTAATAAAGTTTGTTTTCCTCAAGTTTGTGTCTGGAGTGTTACCTGGAATTTCCAAAGTTGCCATTACAATCCCTTTAAAACCAAACACATATGAATTACACATGTTCAGCCCTGTATCAATCATGATGACACCTAAAAGGTTGTCACATTCATTAACCACTTGCCCTCCAGAGGATTTACCCCCCTTCCTGACCAGGCCATTTTTTCCGTTACGGCGATGTGTTACTTTAACTGACAATTGCGTGGTCATGCAACGCTGCACCCAAATTAAATTTACATCTTTTATTCCCACAAATAGAGCTTTCTTTTGGTGGTATTTGATTGCATTTTTTATTTTTTGCGCTATAAAAAAAAAGACCGACAATTTTGAGAAAAAAATTTTTTCTTCAACCTTTTGCTATTAACCACTTGGCAACCGCACTATAGCTGAATGACGACTACAGCGCAGTTGTCCAATTCTGGGAGGGCGTCATGTGAAGCCCCTCCCAGAACGCACCCTCCTACGCGCCCCCAGCGGCACTTACTAGGCGATCTCTGTGATCACTGTGTCTTACAAACACAGCTGATCACGTGATATAGTAAAAGGCCAATCACAGCGGCCTTTTACGACGTGATCAGCTGTGTCCAATGACACAGCAGATCACTGGGTAAATACAGTTGCCGGTTATCGGCTGCACTTTGCTAATACTGTCTCAACCGGCAATTGCCAGAAAACAGATCGGCACTGATCAATAGGGCACTGATGATCAGTGCCCTGATGATCAGTGCTC